GGGGGGGGGAGGAAGGCGGGGGCGCGGTCTCGCGGGGCCGCGGGTGGCTTCCGGCCTGGGCCCGCCTCCCGGGCAACGCTGCCCATCGGACTACCCGTCCCTGAGGCTCGGGAACCCGGGGTGGCCAGGGGGATCCCGTACCTGAGCCAGGGCTCTGGCGCGTGCCCGGGGCTTCCCCGGTGCCCCGGGAGGCACGAAATGAATGGTGTAATTGGGGAGGCCAAGCACGCAGGCCAAGGAAAAGCTGCTGCCGGCCCCTCTGTGAGCTGAAGGAAGTGGCAAGGTGCAGAAGCCCAGGGCTCTCAGGGAGGTGGAGAGGATTTGGCAACCAGGGGACCAACCTCAGCTCATCCCTGGCTCCCATCCTGCAGTGTCGCTGCCAAAGGGGACTGCCCTCTGGACGCTTGGAAAACTTAGAAATCCCAAACTCATTTTTAAATGTCCCGCTCAAGATTCAAGATGTACAAAGTCGATGAGGGAGTTGGGGGTAGGGGGTGCTGACATTTGTGGCAGCAGGCTCTGCCTTGCACAAGAGACACCAGTTCTGGACAGAGAAGCCCTGGGTGGATCTGTGATGGAGTCCTCATAAAAAGTTTTAGATAGGGATCATGAAGGTTGCGTTACTCTTGCGTTTCCTTCTGCGCACACACACTCTAAAGTGGACGCCAGTTTTGCCCCAAGCACAAAACAGAAGTACAAAAACTTCCTGTTTGCTGCTCCTGAGAACGTGTTCCAGTGATGGAACCTCAGAGGAATTTGTGCATTCCTCTCCCACAAGTGTCCAGGGGCAGGGGTGCCGGGAGAATGAGTTCGCAGAGGAAGCAAGAATGGCAGCGAGAGCCAGGGCTCAAGAAAGGAAAAAACTGTGTGAGCCAACACACTATTTTTCCTCCATATAGAGAAGTTTGGGTAAAAGAGCTACTCAAAACTATGAGTCGCATGTGTGACTTTCCAGAGACACACACTGGGCCACCTTACGCAACGTGCTGTAGGGTGGTGTATGCTAGACACACACTTCTTTCACAATCTGTTCCCAAAGCCAAGTCTCCTCGCCTCCTTCCAGGAGTTCCATGACCAGAAGAGGACCCCATTACTGAAGTTCACCTGGATGGGAAGAAAGCAGGATATCCCAGTGAGGACAAAGTCCTGTCTCCAGAGGGATTGTGATCTGTCTGTGGATCAACACACCACCACTCTGATTTGACTGACCAGGTACAGGTGGGCAGGGCCTGAATCCGCAGACTCCCAACTTTACATTATATGACACACTACAGCCGCAGCCAGCCAGTTTGGGGGTTGGGCATGGTTAGGACGCAGCGTTGGCTGTGTGTAAAGGTTACTTTCTGGGGGAAATTCAGTACCCTAGAAATAGCCCAAAGGCCCCAAGGCTAATGGCTGACAAAAATTCCATAAGTCTTCGGTGTGTTTGGATCCATGGAGTCCCAATCAGAATATTTAGGAACGACCGCGTACATGCTTAGGCAATTGGGAATGCACTTGTAATCTTCAGTTTGTAGTTGGCCAGAACGCGAAGAAAGGATGAGGAGCGCTGTCTTCCAGGAGGAAGTGAGGTAGGAGCATTATTAACTCTCAATTAAAATCCGGCAGAGGTTCAGAGGCAGCCTTTCCGTGGACAGTGGGAATAATTGCGTGCAAAGCAGAGAAGCATCCAATTGTGTGGCGACTTTTGTGTACTAAAATTTTGTTTAAAGTTCAAAGAAAACTCACAGTGGGGTTATTACTGCAACTCGGCGCTGTGGCAATGGCTTGGAAGCAAGAGACTTTATATTGGACTGAGCCGGGAGGGATCGGTAGGCCTGGGTGTACAGGTGAAAATACAATGAAGAAAATGTTCTTGGCAAAACATCTGGAAGCAGGTTGGGGACATGCAGCCCGATAATGGAGTGCTTGCCCGCGTGCTCGAGGGCCTGGAGTTGATCCCTAGCACCGGCCAAAAGAGAAGAAAAAAAAAAAAGAACTTGGATCAAAACAATAGGCATGGATCAAATAATACTTCCCAAGTTGTTAAACCAACTAAGGCCAGTGAGAGCTGTTAAGTTTAGAGAGAGGTTCCTGCCGACACAGCACTAGGAGACTCAGCTCTCTCGGCTCACTTTACTCACAGGGCTGCTCAGGTGCCTTTTCTAGCTGCCCTTCACGGTGTCATGACGTCACCACCCTGACCCAGTAGCCGCTCTTCAGTTAGGAACTGTTTGGGCATGAAATCCTTCCTCACAAGACACTCTCTGCTTTGCGCTTGATTTTCTTCTGATTGTTTTTGCTAAGTCTGTATCTGAAATTGGGGAAGGTGATGAATAGCCACGTCAGGCGGTAGATAAATCTAATCTAATGCAAATCGTCCCCTAAAAATACAGTAATTTCCCCCCACAAGGTGCCAGCAAACAGTACCACGAAGCAGACATCAGCTGTGTGATGGTCTTCTCCACTCCATCTCTCTCTTTTGCTCTCTTGTTAGTACGGGATCCTGCCAGCCTCTTACAATCCTAAGAGAGTCAGATTGTAGAGCAAAGATTCCGAAGCCAGTCTTACCATTACTGTAATCACTCCCTCTCATCTTCCACCAAATATTGTTACTCAGTGGTTGTTTTTAATTATGAAAAAAGATAAGGCTCACGTCTCTTTAGTTTGGGGCACGCTTTTCCATGGGCCTCCCGATGGATCTGTGTTACCTAATCACACACCCTTCATTTTTTAGTTGCTTAAGAAGTTTCCAAGTTGAGTTATTATGTAAGCTTGGGTGAGACAAAGCTAAACTCATAGGCAACAACCTAACACACACACACACACACACACACACACTACATAAATATATTGCAAATGTATGAATCTATTCTGAGGATTTAGAGCAGGATTTTTTTTGTTTTGTTTCACTCTATCTTTTCTCAGTGTTCCTATCTTCCCCTCTTTCCATCTTTTGCCTGTTTCTAATACTTTGTCATCACTTGTATCCTTCAGGCTTTAAATGTGTAAACATCCATGAGCTGGATGTGTTTACTGGAAAGCCAGGTCAAGCCCAGCCATACTTAACAAGGCTGTATCCGCCATAGTCTTTGTACAGCCAAGGTCCAGTGAGCTGCTTAGCGTCTGGGGGCCTCTCTAGGACATACTGTGTGAACCCTGCTGCGGGGCTGAGGTCGCCAGGTGGAACATCTGTAAGCCTGGGCTTGGCTTCTCCTGCTTTAGAACAGTGACCATCATTTCTTGCTTTATTTCTTTGAGATCATTCTGAGGGTGGTTAAGCACCAACAGAGCTCTTTAAGGAATTCACATACGTGAAATGTGAGCACCTCAAGAAGTGAGAAAGCCAAGAGCAGGAAAAAAAAATTAAAGAATTGCAGTTTACTTATTAGAAAAAGAAACGAAACTTGCTGGTAGGAAAGGGGGATAGAGAAAAAAAAAGGAGGAGGAAAAAAGGAAGAATGGGAAAAGAATTGGGAAGAGGAAGGAAATTTCCTGGGCATGGTGGTGCACATTTGGGAAACAGAGTGCAGCCTGGTAGACCCTGTGAGAACCTTTCTCAAGAAAACAAATGAGACAAAAAGACAAGCCCCCTACACTGAGATAGCTCTATAATTAGCAAAAAAAAAAAAAAAAATAGTGATTGAGTGCAGGCAAGTTGATATTTCACAGTCCCTTTGTCCATTCTTAGAGGTGATAAAAGTTAGTTAACCCCTTTAGAAAAACAGTTGTGAAGTTTCTGGGGTTGGTTTTAATTTTACCAGATTGCCATACACATCCCTGGCTGGCCTGGAACTCAAAGAGCTGTACCTGCTTCTACCTCCTGGGGACTGAGTGACAAGGTCTGTACTACACACCCAGTTCAGTTTGGGGATTTTTACAGAAACCTTAGATATGCTCATTCTCTTCAACCAAATTTCTCCGTTTTAAGAACTGCATCTTGCCGGGCGTGTGACTCTTGCACTGATGGGGCGGAGAAGGATTGATGGAGTTCATGGCTAGTCTGGACAACATAGCATGACCCTGGATCAAGAGAAGAAGGGAAGACAGGAGGAGGAGAAGGAGGAGGGAAAAGGAAGAAGAAGACTACCGATTCACCATCCCAGGGGACTCGCTACTACCAGCGATGCTCCACAGGAGTGTGCGCGCACACAGAAGCGGTTTTGAACAAACGTCTGAAGGTGCTGTTTTGTGTCTCTTGTTCACTGTGACATAGCCTCGTGGCATGCTAGCACAAAAGCAGCAAACACAGCTCAGCGGATACGGACCACGTATTTTCATCTCCCAAGAGGAAAATATCTAAGAGTGTCCCATAAGGTCAGTGCTCTGTGATGGGTGAGGGTGAGCTTCCCCCCCACACACACACACCTCGGCCTCTTTCCTTGTTCGTTCGTGAAAAATGCTACCTTTACGGAAGGGAGGGCAACGCACGAATAAACGCAGATGTGAACTTAGTAAAAACAAGCTGTTTCCACGTTCTCGAAGTTCTATTCGTAAATTACAATGTGAAGATTCTGGCAGGCTATTTTAGAATTTCTCATAATATTAAAGTTGATAAAAGAAAAAAACTGAAGGACTATTTTTTTAAAATCATGGAAAACATAATGACTAGTTATATTAGCATGCGACTTTGTCTAAATCACAACACAAAGGATTCTGTAATTAACTGAAAGCTGAGCCGTGGGTGGTGGTGCACCGTTAATCCCAGCACTCAGGAGTAAGAGGCAGGCAGATCTCTGTGAGTTCGAGGCCAGCCTGGTCTCCTGAGCGAGTTACAGGACAGGCTCCAAAGCAGCAGAGGAACCCTGTCTCGAAGTGCCCACCCCCCACCAAAAAAAGTGAGTTGAGATAACTACTCGTGAACATGAAGGCAGATTACTTAGACGTAGTCTGTTTCGCGTATCTGTAATTTGTGTTGATCTATGATGTAGACATATCTCTGAATTAAGTTTATTATTGAATGGAAGCAAGAGGATATCCACGAATTCCAGGCCAGCCTGGGCTACAAAGTGATACCTTGTCTCAAAAAAAAAGAAAAGCTAATATGGCAACAAAAAGTTCTTAAAATGCCACTTCTTAGAAAAAAAATCAGAATAATTAGGTTTTTCCTGTAGGAAGAGCAGAGCTATAACATAGGAAACAATAGCCCAGGAAAAAAGTGTATTCAACAGGTCAATACTGAATCCTCATGTGTCTTCATGGGACAGCCAGCCACACAAAGTGTAAACAAGAAACTACGAAAGTGGTTCTCACTGTGAAAAGGGATTCATACGTTCCTCACGAAGTCCTTCATAGCTTCATAGCTTTATAAAAACATGAGGACATCATCCCATTAGAGGAAAACTAGACACAAGATCTACTAATGGCATATAAAAAGTGTTTGTATTTGCCTTAAAATACCTGAAGTGTATACCAAAATGAGGGTGTACGTGTTTGCACCCCAAATCTGAAAGCTATGACGCCAAGAACCTTTGGGAATACTGTGAGCAGGCCCTTCTCTGGATTACTGATGGCAGGGTAAATTAATATACCTTTGTGGAAAGCCATATGGCAGTAGGTTTCAAAGCCCCAAAAACGTTCATTACTCTTTAACCTAGTGATTTTGCCTCTGGAAATCTATCCTAAGGAAATACTATGAAATATTTTTAAATACCATATGCCTGACTATGTTTGTCCCCATGAAATCTGTTCTCTATAAAAAAAAAATGAAAACCACTGAAATTGTCCAACATAAGAGCTAGGCTTTAGTAAAATATGGTTCATTCACTTGATGGAAAATGATCTGTGAATGTAAAAGGGTGGCTAATATGATTGCTACCAACTCCTTTCTGTGGCTAAGTCGATTTCTCTAAGGTCTGCTCTCAGACTACTCAAGAAGACTAACCAGATGTTGGGCATCCCATCATTTTTTAACTGATATCTTAACATTATCATGTAGCTTTTTCTAGGCTATTTTTACAGCATCTCCAATGTAAAATCAGAATAAATTATGTCTCTGCTTCAGTCAATAACTGTATGCACAGTGATCGCCTGGGGACATGTATAAAAGAGATTCAGGGAAAATATGCAAAGAACTATTTTGGATTAAGGGGCCTGTTTACTTGTGGTTCTGGCTACATTGTCTCTATTGCACAAATGGTACCTAATTGGCAAAGACTCAGTGTGGAGCAATGTGCTTTCATTTGTAAATAAGGTGGTTTAATCTGACATAAGCATGTTTACGTTTCCTGGGAACATCTTTATAACTAAGGCAGAATAACAAAATATCTTTTAAATGAGGATGTTTCTATACCAAGAGTTCTATCCTAAGTACCCATAATAACTCATGAAAGCTTTCAAAGGTATGCCTAGAAAAAATGTCAAGGTGCATGTGATTTGTAATCTCTCTGGGTGGGAATGTCCCAAAGTAACTCATATAAAGCGAAGAGCGTGGAGTAATGCCATTGGATTAAAACAGACGTGAAAGATAATGTCCTATAAGAATACTCAGCACATAAAGAGTTCACTACCAAGTACCATTCTTACATGCAAAATCAAAAAAAAAAAAAGTTGACATACTAGATCTTTTCAGGCAAGGAAGTTAAGGGTCTGAGACACTGAATGACCTTCCCTAGATTGCTAGAGGTCGCTCCCAACAGAACAGTAGACATGGTGTGTGGCTGTGATCCCAGCACTTCGGATGCTGACATGAGTTCCCAGGCCAGTCTGGGAGACGTAGCAAGTTCCAGGCTAGCCTAAGCTAAGAGTGATAAACGCTTCAAAGGCAAGCAAAAATTTCAGAATTCTCTCCCCATCCTCATCGTCAGTTTCTTCTAACAGTTTTTATTCCTCTCCATCTGTAAACAGGAGAGGCTCTGTTACAATAGCGTAGGCCAATCCTGCTACAGTCCCTCACCGGAGACTGCTTTCATAATCTTATCATAGTTTATTGCATAATAATCTCCTTACTATTTCTTCACTAGCGTAAGGACAGAGCCCATATGTACTTGGCAGAGAACGATTAGTAAATTACTCCTGAGTGGTGAGCAGGTTACCTTGATACCCAAAGACGAGTGAAGAAAATATTATGGGATAATAAGGAAAATCTTAGTTTCCACAGTCTACAATAATTTTAATCAAAGTTAGCAGAGGTCAAACATACAAGGGAAAAAGTATGTAAAGAAAGTAGAGGACAATGGGTTTGTACCCCCAAATAAGCTAAGGATGTTTAACATGTGAGCCCCCCCCAACCTCTTAATAACACCTGCAGCTCCCTTTTCTCATAGCACTTCTAATAGAGCCGTAGTCAGAGCGTGAATACTGAACTACAGGTTTGCTTTCGCTTCTTAAAACATAATAGGACCATAAAGCTTTCCTAACCTACTTCGTAAACTGTCTGAATGGATGAGATTCAGTTTTGTGTATCAAAGGCATAAACGCTGTCAATTAAAGTTAAAATCAATCAGCCCCAATCAATCTCAGGCTCATTGATGAGGATTTTTAAAAAGACGAATGGAGACAGAACTCGGGTTTATTTGCCTAAGTTTCTCCACCTGCATCGTGCTCACACACACAGAAAGAAGCCGCAGTTGCTAGGCTTCCAGATGTCACCCCTGACCGTGAAAGGAAGCAGCTTTGCCCCATAAGTCTTCCAGGAGCCCCTGGCATTGGGGCAAACATCTGAGGAAGGCTTAGAGATCTCTTGGCAACTTCTGCGATGAGTCCCATGACTATGTGGGAGAAGAAAGCCAACTTCATGGCCTCTGACACCCAAACCTAACCTCCAACAAGGTCTGACAATGGGAATCCAAAAGCCTGGGGACCTCTAGCCATTCCTTCTTCCTTGAAGGTGCTCTCTCCCACAGACTGGGCACAAAGAGGTCCTTTTCTGTCCTGGAAAACCAATGAGTTTTGTTCTTGTTTGAGTAAAGCCATGCTGAACAAGCTGAATTAATCTATATGGTTAGTAGCTTTAACACACACACATACACACACATGCACACACATGCACACACACACACACACACACACACACACACACACACACACACACACTCTTTTAAGAATGCTTTTAAGTGCTTTTAAGAATTCGGCCAGCACAGGACGGTGGTGGTGCACGCCTTTCATCCCAGCACTTAGGAGGCAGAGGCAGAGGGATATCTGAGTTCAAGGCCAGCTTGGTCTACAGAACTAGTTCCAAGACATCTACGACTATTACATAGAGAAACTCTGTCTCAAAAACCAAAACAAAAAAAGGTCAGCAATGATTTAAGAATGCTTCCGCCTTGTTATTAGTTATTAGAATTTATCTTTGGGGGGCTGTAGAGATAACTCAGAGGTTAAGAGCACTGCTGTTCTTCCAGAGGTCCTGAGTTCAATTCCCAGCAACCTCATGATGGCTCACAACCATCTACAATAGGATCTGGTGCCCTCTTATGGTGTGCATGCATGCATTGTGTACACAATAAATAAATCTAAAATAAAAATGAAATATATCTTTTTTTTTTGAGACGGGATTTCTCTGTAGTGAAATTTATCTTTTAAAAAAGCATATAATGACCAGTCAGGATCATTTTCATCTGTAAGGATGAAGAGATGATACAACTTGCTGAGTTTTAGAAAGACTGAGGCAGGAGGATCATGAATTTGAAGACAGTCTGGACCACATAGTGAGACCTGGCCTGAAAAACAAAAAGTCCACAGGAAGTCTGTGACTTCCCTTATGGCCTTTGCTTTCACACACAGAGAAATCTCCACAAAGTGTATTTAGAAAACATAATTATTTGCATATCTAAGATTGCATTCACTCAGCAAGACCACTAAACGCCCCCTTTTAAAAGCGCAAAGCACCATGCTAAAGGAGATGCACCCAACAAAGACTATACTATCGTCTCTGCTCTAGAGGGTGATAATCTGAGAGGGTGGGTTAGAAGGGGGTCCTCAATATCCCCAAACAACTTCCTGCGTCATAAACAATGGCAGTTTCATTTATCTGTGCAGTATGAAATAAGTAGCCTCCAAGGATTCTGTTTTTATCACCCTGAAGTGCATAAAATGTAAAAGGCAATTTGATGTGCTTGGTCCACAAATACTGAGTATTCACCAAATGAGGACATGATAGTTTTGTACACAGGTGACAAGTCCTTCAACACACAGACACACAGGCACACACACACACACACACACACACATCCTCAGAAAGAGAGAAAGAGAGAAAACAGACATCAATGAGCTGAACCCTGGTGGAGCAGATGAGAAACAAGTTCTATCTTAGGCTAATTAACTATTTGATTACAAAGCAGCCGTTGATCTTTAATTTTGTTTTACTTTTGTGACAAGTTGCCCTTCATTTTAAAGAAGAATTGACTGCGGAGAGCAAGGTTCCTCCCAGCGGAGCTGCTTTAGATGCTGGGCTCTCCTTCACTCCCTCCTGCCCCAGTTGAATCACCAACCCTATGCATCCTGTTGGTTCTCAGTAAACAGTTCTTAAATAAATATAGGGAACGCATGTGTGTAAATGACTACCACTAATC